CTCACGTTCCGTCCTCACATCACTCTTGAACAAGACCCGAGATACTTGAACTCCTCCACTTGAGGCAGGGACTCTCCACCCACCTTTATTTTTCAGTATAATAAAAAAAAAAAAAAAATTAGATTTAAAATCCAATTATTTTCAGTACATACTGTGGCTTTACTTACAGATATTTCTATGCACCTTGAAAAAGAACACTATGTAACCTGCTATCGTACTGGTTTAAAAAAGCTAGTATATTTACTGCTGAACCTGAATTGCCACAGACACTTTTGATCATCTCAGTATATGCACAGACCATGCCTCATGTGGAAACTGAAGGTGCTGGAGTTTAGGGAGTGACCGTTCAGATCAGACAGAGACATTTTAGGTTTAAACACGCTGGATTTTAACATTCAAACTGGCAAGAACCTGAACACTTAACATCTACATCCTGACTCCTTAAGCCCCAGCTCTAATGCAGTCTATCCTGCCTCAGTGCTAGTGCAGCCTCTGCAGCTCAGGGAGTTAATTCTGGAGGTTCTGATCTTTCACATGAAGTATTGTAAAATGTCATATGTTCTCTATCAATGGTTCTCAACTTTTACCCAAGACCCAAATAATAACAAGTATCAGCATCCATGACCCAAACCACAAAAAGTAGCCTTTTAGATTTAATGTTTGTTTTACTGTTTTACTGTCAAGGCACCGACAGTCCAGATTTAGTTGTAATAGATTAGTGTGACCAGGTTAGGACAGGATTCAAAACCAAGAACACGAAACCCAAATCTAAACCAAAACTGAAACAGAACAGTATTCAGCTCTTATACACTACTAGTCACACACCCAGCCTTTTTTATGTATCTATTTATGTATTTATTTATTTTTTTTAATATATTTTTTTATGTTTTATACTTTCTACATCTCTCTTTACACTTTAGAGCAGGGGTGTCCAAACTTTTTCATCAAGGGCCACATATCTAAACACAGACGAAGCAGAGGGTCGATCGAGGACTGTAGACTGGTGCTGAATACAGTGAATAATTGTAATATGTGCATCATGTTTAACATGTTAGAATGAGCCGTCAATGTTTATTCGCGCTAAGATCCTCATGACCACACACTTAATATTAAATATTCACTTTATCAAGGTAGATTTAAAAAAAAAAAACCTTACAATAAAAGGTAAATTTTTCATTGATGCAAGGTCATTTGGGCCAATTCTCCTGGAAGCCTGAGGGCCAAGAAAATATTGTCTGAGGGCCGCATTTGGCTCACGGGCCATATTTTGGACATGCCTGATTTAGATTCAAATCCTCACAGTCTTGACCCCTTGCTTTGTCGACAGGGCTGCAAACCCTTGGTCTGTTTTGGAAGTCCGTTGAAATGTTTTTAAGTTCTCAAAAATGCTAAAATTGCAAATCACTGCGATCAAAGCAAAGTTTTTTTTTTTTTATTTTTTTAATCTAAAACAAATTTGGAGTTCTTTTGTGTGTCATTTAGTTTCCTATATTCCACATGTGTCATTCAGAGTTTTGATGCTTGAGTGAGAATTTACAGTGCAAATAATAAAGAGCAAAAATGAATGAAAAGGTGTGTCCAAACTGTCAGTGTACATTCTCTTGTTCTTCTTCCCATCACGAGGAAAAACACCACGCTGGAGTCTGGTGGGTGATTTCACATTTTAATTATAACTTTTGTACAATAGATTTTACATTTTCACAAGCTAAGAAGTTTATGATGGCAGATAGCTGAGGGCATCTCCACAGAAGCCAGTTTATATTCATTTTCAAACAACAAGATGGAATGGAGACGCACGGCAAAGGTTGTCACCACCGACAGGATTTAAAGTCCAAACTCATGTCCTTCAGAAACAAAGCTAAACATTCCACAAACTTTAGCTCCCAGAAGTCCAATGACAAAATGACATTGGAAGTCTTTACAAAAATGACCAAGACACTGACTTCCATCCTTTCAATTTGTGCGATTATCCGTGCCATTGTCAACTATGTGTCCTTCAAAATCGTGTAGAATATATTTCAATTACCCATCATGCAATTTTCAGTTCTTGCATAACTTCTTTTTTATGAATTTTTCCAGCAGCCCTGAACAGTCTCTTAATAATAAAATATTAGCTTATCATGGCTGCTCCTTCGATCCAAAACAAAACTTAGAAAAATAATTTTCGCTAAAAACAATTGAGAAGAAGCATAAATGGGCCTATGTTACAAAACAATACCTATAGGAGAGTACATAGAGTGTTTGTCAGATGCAGTAATATTTCATAATCATGTACATACCAGAGAAATATACATATATAAAAACACTAGTCTGCCTCGTCTATCGCATGACCTCAAAGTCACAATGTTCCAATCACCAAGCATCGTCCAATCAGCTTTGAGCTTTGTCCAAAACATGAGGATGCTAAGCTCTGATTGGTCGATGACACACAGACGCTACTGTACATCAAGCAGGAAGTCCTCAAAGCACTTTCTGAATGTCAGGACGGGTGTGGTTATGGAGACTGGGACGCACCTTCACCACTCCACCCTGTGTGTTCATGAAGAGTTTAACCTGACTCTATCTTCAACTCTGTTATAATGTTGTTTTTCATCAACACCTGGAGCTGTGTGTCTGTGCTTCTTGTTATTCGAGCATATTCAGTGAACATAGTGTGACAAATTTAGAGTGGGACTAGCTGTGGAGCCATGTGGTGGGACAGACACAACATCTCATTTACCGTTACTCTGAGTATTACACATGTTATGTAGTACAACACAGGGCTTTTAGAATGCACACATACAGCGGGGAAAAGTATCTCAGTTTTTCAGAGAAAACAAAAACTGTTGTTGCCAGTGGGGACTGGCTCCCTGCTGCTGCTCCAAAGATTTTAAAGCTGGGGCACCTGGTTTTCACACAAAGTGGGAATCAGGTATTTAAGTGTGTCTAAATGCTTTCGAGCTCTCACAAACCCTTTGGTCCATCAGTAATATCCACATGCATTTTCATGCACAGCTTTAGAACCTTTTTTTTTTTTTTTTCAAAATAGACCACCTAAGAACAGCCAATCAAAGGGCTGCTTTCAGCACTTACTTCTGGGTGGACAAAGAATAAAACAAATAAAAAAAATAATAAAAACAAATAAAATACTGGTGAAGGGAGGTGTTTGCCTAATGCAAGACTGTCAGCTGAATGATTCAGGAATACAGAAGCTTCAGAGAAATACACCACACAGAACTGTTGTGTTTGTGAAGGACACAGTGCAGCTCCTCCTCTGAGCACTCAGACTCCCAGCTCCTAATCACAACATCCATCCTGTGGGTGCCATGAACCACAGCTCCAGGTGTATTTGTGATGGGAAACACTGCTGTAAACTCATCAAGTAAAAAAAACAAACAAACAAACAAACAAACAAACAAAAAAAATCTTTTGAAGAGTTTCAAAGTAAGTTATTCCAACCAGTCAGTAATGTTGGGACACTCCATATGTATTTTTTTAATGTATTTTCTTTGCATTGACTTTTACCATTCACTGGGAACTGAGGACATAACTTGACATTCTTGTAAGAAGTGTGATGGGGACAAAGGACAATATGGCTGACCAAAAGTGAAGCAGGTGCTCACCTGTCGGAGCGTACCTGTGTTAGAATGTCCACACACACGAGTGCTTCTGTCTCGTCCCTGTGACCAGCCTCCATGTGCGGCTCTGTGTGCTTCTGAGGCCAGTGTCACCTCCTTGCATTGTCCAACAGCATCATGGTTCTCCGAGGTACCCAGAGGTCAGAGGAACCTCAGCCCATCACAGGCCTTCTGTGAGTGGACAGTTTGGGCAGGAGACCCCCTTAGCCCCACAAATGAACTGGAGCAGAACTGGTGGGCGGTTTACAAGTGTACAGACATGCATTAGAGCCACTCCAATGCGAAGTTCAGCAGACTTTAGGTCAGATAAAGACAGTCTGCTCTGTCAGAACCATTCCCTTTGTACAGAGTGGAAAAGGTCTAGGAACTCTCCATGGTGCGAGAAAGTACCAGACTGATATCCCTCTGTGTTAAAACATGTCATTTTGGATTTGCCAGGCAAGTTTTATACTGGACTGAAGAAGACCCTGTACCCAATCAAATATGATCAACCAAATCAAATATGATTGGGTACAGGGTCTACTTTGGCAACATTTGCAAAGTCATGATTTAATCCATTGCCATGTTTTCCCTGTGTGTACTTGAGTGTACGCAAATCAACAGAAATACACTCATTTCGAGCAAATATAAATTCACAAAAGAATCGAGTTCATCCATGACTATTTTTGACTATTTGACTATTTCATGACTATTATTATTTACAGGAGACGGTTCAGTGTAGAGAGGGTTTGGATAGTGACACTGGACACTGGGAAACACTGGGAATTGATCTCACAACTCTGCCACAAAGGAAGGAGTGTTATACTGATAAAACATATTAGCTCCTAAACTATGGTTTTCAGATTCTAAAATGTGATGAGGTCAATTTCTCAGATGGGTTCAAGAGAATCCATTTCCAGTGCTTCAGGTCAGTTCTATCATTTGAAAATGGAGTCGCAAAAACCTGGTCCAGATGAGCACAGAAGAAACCTTCTCTACACTGCTGTTTGTAGTTAAATTTGATGTAATCAGTGAATATTAGATTGATTTTGGCAGGTGTGTTGTGACATACTCCATATGAGATTGATAGTTTTAAATGTGGCTCTAACACGACTGTACACACTGTATAATCCCATTGTCCAAAGTTCTGTATTTTTCTCAAACCTAAATCACAAACTCAAGAACACATCCATAGTTTACACATATATTACAGTACATCTCTTCAACACATAGCTGCAAACTGAAATACAAAAGTCAAAAAGTAAAACAACAAGAAACATATTAAAAAAGCAAATAGACAAAATCCAGGGTGAACAAAATGGGGCAGGTTTCACAGAGCTGAAGGGAGGGCTCCTCTGTACAGCGTGTCAGTCACAGTGTGTGCATGTGTGTGACGCTCGGAGGCTACAAGAGTCCGGGGCACGAGCGGGCACACAGCCACACCAGCAGGGGCAGCAGAGGGCCAGAGAGGGGCCGGGGCACGACTCCAGAGCTCCGAGGGATGGCGTTGGACGTGCTCGGACCGTCGATCTGAGGATCCTGCAAAACAAACATGTGATGTTGGTTAAACTGACTTATTATGGAAGACTGTCAAAAATACAATATATGGACTCCATTATAACGGTTAAAGAAGAACTGCTCTTGTGGCTGACTGACTGGCACACTGAGCCCTTTGTAAACTTTTAACATTTTTATTTAATATTTGGGGATTTTGACCAACTAAGAATACACACTTGTGCAGTTCAAAAGATGGAAGTTAAGGAATACTGGACTGTGTGGTGACAAATGGTTTAAATGTAAATTTTGCACCAACAAATACACACAAATAAAAGCTTTTTTATTTGTTCCATTTTGGTCGGGTTGATAAACCTGACTTATTTGTCTGTGCTTTCTGTTTGGTTAAACCGACCATAATATTCTGCCCTGTGAGGAGACAAGTACAGTACTTTTACTTTTATACTTTGTTACTTTCCACCACTGACCTATTTTAAAATGGGAAATGGTGACAATTTACCTTTTTACAATAAGTCAGTTACATCATTACTCAAAATGAGTTTAAAACTCATAATTATGATGTTCAAACTAGTAATTATGAATTTAAAGCTTTTGATTATGACTTTCTGTGAGGCTTTTATTTTATTATTTACTGGGCTTCCATGATTTTGTACAAACTGTGTTTTTAAATTTTTAAACTGCAAAAAAAAAAAAAAAATCATTAAACGTAAATATATATATATATATTTTTTTAATGGGTTTCTGTTCAAAATGAAATAGGCTTTGTAAGTTACCAAAAAATGATGAACCCTTTAGATGCAAGTTCTGGTCATGTCAGTTTTCTTAAAACAAAATAACCCAGTCATAACATATCAGTGTGAATATTCAGTGTGAATATGGACCAGAATCACACCACCAACCTGTGGGTCAAACACTCTCCCAACTGAGCTACTGAACAGAGAGAGAACATGCAAACTCCAGTGTGTGTCATCAGGAGCACAAGAGGGCTGCTCTGCTCACACAAGTTTGACACGTTTGGGATTTTGACACAGTCACATTAATCAGTTTTTTTTTTTTTTTTTTTTTTTTGGTATCTCTAAACTTCTGCTGAATGCAAACTGCTGAAACTACTGTGAACTTTCTTCTCTTAAGCCTGGAAGATTCATCTTGTCCAAAGAAAAGGTTACTCTTCTCTTATATCATCACTCGCTGAAGGAACACCACTAACTGAAACTGGACAAATTCTCACAGATTTTTTTTCTATTTGAGACATTGCATATTGATTCATTGTGAGATTAGTATCACTTTTCCTTTTGTACCACTCAAACTCAATGTCCCTGTGTCTCCGTGGGGCCTTTAGCTGTGCTAGTTTAGGCCTCCACTCTCACAAACATCTGAAATGCAAAGGCAGTTTAACAGTAAAGATGTGAGTCTGTCATGTTCCTGCTCCTGGACATGTCCAAATATGTCCTGTGATCAGATACAGATATTATAAGAACTGATATTATAAGAACAGATCCATCTCTTATTTGGTTTGACCTCTGACACTGTGGAACTCTCTCGCTCCTGCTCTCGTGTCTTCATGGACAAGTTTTGTCTGTAACGTTCTAACCTGGATCAGAGCAGACTGATGTGTGGTCCTCTGAAGTGAGCTCTACACTCATCACATTTATCAGTCTGGAACAGCTCTCTCTCAAAGTGACAGGGAGAATATCATGATCATTGTTTGAATCTGATCATTTGAAGCATCACAACAGTCAAACAAGGCCAAAAATCTCACTTGAGTTAGATCCAGCTGAGAGAAAAGCACAAACATCTCCCTCTCCATATAAATACTGTATTTATGTATTTTATGTTTTTGGCTAAAATAGGCTGAAGTACATCTGTAGGTGTTGTCATGTTTGCTTTGGCACATTTGGGTGCTTCATCTTTGACTTTTGCACAAACCTCCATGCTGTAACGTGATTGGTTCTGCAATTAGTGGGCGGGGCCTATCTCCCCAGCAGAAGGAGCGATGTCAACATGGAGTGAACTCACAAATATAGCAAGAAGCCGTCTTGTCATGCAGGGTTAGGAATGTTACATAATATGGCATTAAATGTACATATCTTAATGGAGACAAGCAGGTGACACTACCAGGCAACATCACAAGTCAGATCTGTGGAGTGGGGATCCCAGTTACAGTAAGAATATGTCTTTTGAATGTATTTTTGAGCAATAAAAAACACTCATACTTGAATAAATGCGTGATAGATCAAATGCTATGATATGATATGGAACATTACAGCCAAAACTATTTCCTCCACTATAAAAGTGACATAGTGGTCCTTTAATAAGTCCAAACATCAGCTTTGAGTAATCCAGGATTCCTCCGACTGTAAACTTAAAGTGCTCATCCTCTCTTTGCTTGTGCATCTTAAGTCTTGCTAATAAAGGCTGGGTGGTGCCCTGCGGCCGCGGTGCCCGCTCCAAATGCCAGCGTGCACACTACACAGTCTTATTAGTGCACAGTGACATTTGAGCTGAACTTTAGCAGGCCCTGATAAGGCCCGCACCCTCGGCTCCTCAAAGGGACTACAGACAGAGGCCAGGCCAGCAATCAGCTCGCAACATGGGGTCACATCAAAACAGTGCGCTGAGCCCGGATAATGTTTGGCCATCTGCTGTAAAAGTTGAGGAAGGCAGATAAGTGAAGCTGTCAATCATTTTATAGCCTTAAAGGTGTCACATTTTTTTTTGTTGTTCAAATAGTATCATATGTGGAGTTAGAGCTGTACATTTTCTGTGACATTAACCAACTTGTATTTTCAGTCTGTACTTTTTATTCCCGAATCTGCATTTATATTTACTTTTTTTAGATCAGCTCAAACTGGGATGAAGGAAATCTAATGATAATGATGTAACAGGAGCAGCTTCTGTGTGTTTGTGGACAAAAACTGTAGTCAGAAATCTACTGAGGCGACCAGCTTCAGTCCTCAATGTACTACAGCTGCACTCTCTAAAGACCCCAGATTACACTGACTCTTGTGAGCTTTAAACTATGTTATAATGTCCTTATCTCCTCAAAAACATGCAGTTGTGTTTTGTGTCATTTGTATGTTTCAGTAAAGCTGAGCTCAAAATGCTCTGTTCCATCTTGTGATGTCATGAAGTGGTAGTTTTAAGTAGTAGGTCCCGGCCGCTCCAGCAAAAATTTGTAATTTTCATTCCCCCTCCCGCCCACATCTGCAATGTTTTGTCTCACTCCAGCCCGCAAACCCCGCAAGATGGGGACGTTTGCTTTCTTAAGATCTATTAAACACAAAGAAGTAGAAAGGAATAGTCTAAATGTGCACAAGATTAGATCACATCGGCAAATTTAGGCTTAAAATGTTTAAATTTAGGCTTAAAATGTTTTTATTACTGTAAAATAAAATATCCAGCACACATTATGAATGATACTCTTACATTCATCATTTGTATATTTTACTTTACACTTTCAGTTTGCTCCTGCAGTGTGCAGTCCTGCTCCCGCCCACACCCTCAATGAGTTTTCAAAATGTGTCCCATGCTGCACTGTTTTGAGTCGGGTCCCGCAGGGCTCTAGTTAACAGCTCCTTTTACCTTAAATCCTTTAAATTACCTTTAAATCCAGGTTCAAAATGATTCTGTTCAGCTGTGCATATCACTAAAGGTTTTCATTCTACACAAAGGTTTTCATTCCACACTCTTTTCTCTCATTCTCTCTCATCTCTTTTTTTTTTTTTTTTTAAGATGATTATTTATGTTTTGGTTTGTTTGTATTGTGATTCTAATGTATTTCTTATTCTGTAAAGCACTTTGAATTCCTCTGTTTAAGAATTGCGCTGTACAAATAAACTCGCCTGTCTTTGCCTTTAGCTCAGTAGAGGTGATTGGCAATTCCAGAGCTGAAATGATCCTAATGATTCTAGTAAATTTGTGTAGAGTTTAAAATCACAGTGTAGCACTTCCTGTATCACCACATGACATCACAAGGTGGAACAGGGTTTTTGTGTTAAACATGAGAATGAAACAAAACACAACTCCAGGTCTGTGTGTGATGAGGAAACATTAGAACAGAGATCATAACGTAATATCAACCTTTAAAACAATTCTGCAGCTAACAGCATCCCAGTGTGTTCTTTTGTATTCTTTTATTTTGTCCTTTTCACACAGTCTGAGCAGTGTGGAGTGAACAGGAACAGAAAGTGTACTTACACAGAAGACTCCATCCACCGTCGAGTTTGACTTCAACTTCTGAGCCTGAAATCACAATGAGATCTTGTTACGGATGAAAAACAACACAGAACTCTCAAAACTCTAGTTCCAGAGCCTGCGGCAGGGAGGTGACAGGAGCAGGGAGGTGACAGGAGCAGGGAGGTGACAGGAGCAGGGAGCAGGGAGGTGACAGGGAGGTGACAGGGAGGAGGTAGGGAGGTGACAGGAGCAGGGAGGTGACAGGAGCAGGGAGGTGACAGGAGCAGGGAGGTGACAGGAGCAGGGAGGTGACAGGAGCAGGGAGGTGACAGGAGCAGGGAGGTGACAGGAGTAGGGAGGTGACAGGAGCAGGGAGGTGACAGGAGCAGGGAGGTGACAGGAGCAGGGAGGTGACAGGAGCAGGGAGGTGACAGGAGCAGGGAGGCGACAGGAGCAGTGTGTGGAGCGCAGAGTGGAACATGTGGAAGAGCTTTAGCTGTACACCTGCTGTAGTCCTGTTCTACTCCTGTTCCTCAGAGGACAGTTTGCATGTTCTCTCTGTGTTTTGGTGCACAGTTTTTCTTCTATACCCTGGCACCTCAAACCTAAAATGATCATAACAGGCTATTCCTCCAACAAGGTGCTCGTGGTTCTTGGTTCAAAAGCTTTGATTGTATAAATGGACGTGGTTCACCTGCTGTCTGATGTGTTCCAAACAGACAGTGAGCATGGTCCCTCAGCCTGTACCTGCTGCTGTCAGACTCTTCAATCTGATCTTAAAATGTTTGGATTTACCTTCTCTTAGGGTGACCAGATGTCCTGAAAAATTCTGAACAGTCCCTAAATGTAAGCTGTTGTCCCGAATCCTGAATTTGGCCCTAAATATCCCAAAAATGACTCTCAAACAGAATACTGAGTAGTTATTTCTGATAAACATGAAAAACTGTTTGTAGAGAGCCTCTGACAGTTTCTAGATGCTCTGTTCACAAGGCGTACATCACGTCCAAATGCAGGAGCCGCTGCCTTTGGAGTTGAGCAGAGAACAACAGGGAAACAGCGACGTGTGGTCAGGAGAGACAGGTGAGACACTGCCACAACAAAGCTTTACTTTACATCATGTAGTTGAGCTCACTGCTTGAACTCACTTGACATTAGTGCTCCTGATTTGTTGTTTACTTTTTTTTTTCTTTTGATTTGTCTGCAAACAAAATAATGTATTAAAACTAAATGTTTTTATTGGTAAATGTGATTTTTGTTTGTTTGTAAAGAATGTCCTAGAGCAGGGGTGTCAAACTCATTTTGGTTCGGGGGTCGTGTCCAACCGACTTTGATCTCAAAGGAGCCGGATCAGAAAACTCACGTCATATAAACCCCACAAATAACAATAAGTTCAAATATTTTTTTTTTTTTACAGAGAAACACAAATCTATTACAGAAATCTCTTTTAATTGATGAACTCTTTCTTTTACAAAATATTATAATATTATGAACAACCTGAAACTTTAAGAAAAATACAATTTCAACACAATGTTTGAACATGAACTTGTATGTAAATAGAAATAAGTCAGTTTTTCTTGGAAAATCCTGCACTCGGCTCCACTTTTCTCATGTTGGACATTTTTCTGATGAGGGTGTCACAGTCAACAGTCAAAACGATCGTCCTTTAAGAGCGTTTGGAAAGAGACAAGTCTTCATTTGTGCTGCTCTGGTGGGAGGGGCCACGTACAGAGACACTGGAGACGCTGCTGTGATAAACACCACAGAAAATTAACAAGATTTTAATAGAAAATGTAATGCAAATATTTTAGTACAAAATCAGCAGAGGGCCAGATTAAAGGTGTTGGAGGGCCGGATCCAGCCCTCGGGCCGTATATTTAACACCCCTGTCCCAGAGGATAAAGTCAGACACCCCCGTCCCGAATTTCATCCAGTCTCATCTGGTCACGCTTCCTGCTGTACGTGATCCTGAGGTTTTTAGGTCACTCTTTTGTTTGTAAATGAAGATATGAATATTAATTATAGACAAATTAGGCGTCTTCTTTTCTGGGTCAGCAGATTTAATTGACAGCGCTGCTTTATCACCAGCTCCACTGGTAAAGCACCTACGGGTGACGTCACCCTCTGTCCACTTCTTTATGCAGTTTATCTTCAAAGGTCACACACACTGCTCCTCACTAACATCAGCCCAGCGGCTCTGAGCAGGATGGACCTAATGCAAAGATGTTATTAATGTACTTTAACCCCCCCAGACACAGAGGGAACATGCAAACTCCACACACAAAGGTCATGTAAGATTTAGATTTGAAATACATTTACATGCATTTAGCATAAACATGAGAAAGTAGAATGTGTCTCTTTGGCGTGAACAACAGACTGGACTGGAGGGACAAGAGTAATGCTGTGTACAAGAAGAACATGAGGACACTCCACTTCCTGACAAAGCTCAGGTCTTTCAGCGTGTGCAGCAAGTCACTGGAGATCTTCTACCAGTCTGAGCCTCCAGTGCCCTGAACTTCACTGTGCTCTGCTGGGGGAGCAGCTCCAGGAAAAAGAACATTGACAAACTGATCCTTAATTAAAATTGTCCACAAGATCTTCTGTGAACTGGAGACATTTGTCACAGTGAGAGACATGAGGACACCAGACAAACTGCTCTTCAACATGGACACTCCTGCTCCCCCACTGCACCAGATTATAGAGGGACAGATAATACTCCCTACAACTGTACAACAACTCACTCTTATATAACAGATAATACTCCCTACAACTGTACAACAACTCACCCACTGCACCAGACTATAGAGGGAAACAGTGAGATACAGGACTACATTCATACTATAATACTCCCTACAACTATACAACAACTCCTTTACCTCTTGTATAAAGCTGTGATTTTATATGTTATTCTTTATCTTTCTATTTCACTTTGTACATTTACATTTATATAATTATGCCAGCTCCTGCACCAGTCAGTGCTAGTGCAGCCTGTGCAGCTCAAGGAGGGAATTCTGGAGGTTCTGATCTTTACACGACTCATGGTCTGTCCATAAACTGAGACTGAGACACACTTGGATGTGTGTGTGTGCAGGTTGAGACACAGACACACAGGTGGGATTGTCGTACTTCTTTTTAAAACAGTAAAAGAACAGGCTACATGCACTTTCATTCACACATGTCTGAGTAACCTTTGATTTGTCTACATGTCCAGAGCTCAAAATGCTCTGTTCCACCTTGTGATGTCAAGCTGGAATCATCCATATGATTCTAGTGAAGGTGTCTGTGTCTATAGTTTGAGAGAAAAACTAAATGTGCAGGTTTGTGTGTTAAACATGTGTGAATGAAACAAAAAAAAACACAAAAAAAAACACAACTGCAGGTCTGTGTGTGATGAGTAAACTACATTAGAACAGATCAGAAAATAGCCTAATATGAGCACTATAAATAAAATAAAAATCTTATCTTGTTGTGAATAACTTTACATATCGTGCTTGTCACTACTGTATTTTCCGGGCTATTAGTCGCTCTGGATTATAAGACGCACTGTCATTAAATGGTCTATTTTCAAACCTTTTTCCCAAATAAACCGCGTGGGACTTTAAAGGAAACCCAACAGTGTGATGGGTGAGTGGTTTTGTTTGTTTGTGGTGTTCACGGTGACTCTGGGCTTTGTTCAGTTGTGGCGTGTAGGGAGGGTGTGTCTGTCGCTGGATTGTCGTCGTGTTCAGTTGTGTCTAGAAGTGGCACATTGCACTCGCTTTTTCGGTTCGTTCCTCCATTCCGTTCCTCGTCGGCGTGGAGTGATGAGTGTGTCTGTGGGTGTGTTTCTCTGTGCGGTCGCTGTCTGCTCCGTGTGTGTTTGTGTGTTCTGTGGGTGGTGCGGCTTTGTAGTTTACTGAAGTCGTGCTGGGACACCCGAGTGGATTCGTGTATGGGGCGCTCTGGATTGTGGGGCGCAGTCGCAGTGGTTTTTTAATGCGGTTAGAGGCTTAAGAGCGCGTCTAACAGCCCAGAAAATACGGTATTTTAAATAATTTTACTCAAAGATTACAAAAAAGTTTGTGCAGATCTGGGGATTGTCCAGCTTACATGGTCCTTTGTCTGACTCTGACCGGCCTGTGTAAGATCATGTGGAATTACAAAATAAGTGGCAGTAGTTCAGTTGGTAGAGCGTTCGTCCACTGATCTGAAGGTTGGCGGTTCAATTCCAGCTCTGGACATAAACATCATAGGTTGAATGGTCAGATCCACTGACCCACAGGTTGGCTGGTGTGATTCCAGCTCCCACAGATGAATGCTGTCAATGTGTCCTTGGGCAAGACACTTAACCCACCTTGCCCACAGTGTCTGTGTACACTGGTGTGTGAATGTGTGTGTGAATGGGTGAGTGGTTCCTTGTTGTAAAGTGCCTTGAAGGTGGAAAAGCGCAATATAAAAATGTGACCATTTACCATAAACATATTTTATTCTTTTACTTCATACATGGACTAAAGCTGCTGAGTTTTTTTTTTTTTTTTAATGACATTTTTTTGTCAGCTTCACTTTTTCATTGCTTAGTCAGAATATATTCTCATATCAGTCTGATCATCTCGTCAAAACAATGATATTTATGCTTTTTATAAAGAAATACAATTAATATTCTGCAGAACTGAGTTAAACATTTTGGTCTCACAGTATTTTCTGTTTCTCGTGTGGCCTCATGGAAAAAAGAAGTGCCCTCCCCTGGTTTAACACAAATGAACAATGACAATCTTAGTCTTACTTTACATATTCTAAACATACTTTTTTCTTTCTTATTTGTGCGTTTATGCCACCCTAAATCATTCTCCAATTCCAAACTCATTTCACATCTGATAATTATGCAAATGCACAGATATATGCCCAGCACATGCTTGTGTTGTTTGGGGTGTTTTCAGACAGACCGGCGTCTCTGGAGGTGATTACAAACCCACACACTTCCATTTGATTTGCACCACAGCACTTGTAATCAGTCTCACTGCTCTGGCCCACTGGGAACGAGCTGATGCTGGAGCTCGCTGAGGAGACGTGTGCGGCTGCGAGCGCCGTCA